CGAATTCAACCAATTTGAAAGGTTGTTCCATTTGGTCTTATCCTGAATGATAATGGATGGCGGCGGCTTTTGCCTGCGATCAGTAGTGGACCCTTTCGCTGCGGGCTTAGCTGCGGGCTTGGGGGGTTGAGCACTCGCCGCGGGTGCTGACTTTTTAGCTGGAGTAGCTATGGGGTACGAGGGGGCTGAGTTGGTCTCGCCTGCCATTTTAGGGGCCGGGCGTTTGCGCTTTTTGACATGAATGAGGTTGAAGCCTTCGTCTACGGGCTTGGGCGAGGCACGCGTTTCAATCTCCATGTCGGAGCCTGAGTCGGCATCAGAGAAGACCAGAGAGGAGTCGCAGGAGCGGTGTAGGGAGAGAGGGGGTTGTCCTTATGTAAGATAGGTTTGGGCGCAGTCGCGGTCTAGTGGCAGCCGGAGGTGCAGGCTCGGGTGCGGTTCTCGCATATCGCTAAGGTAAAACACAGTCCAAATATTGCGGAAGGCATTACTGAAAAATCGGCAAGTTTTACGACCGTAATCAACGCCATCTTGTCTTATGCCAACACAAGTTAAGCACAGAAGTGTACCAAGGTCCCCTTGTGGTGCACCTTTCGACGACGGAGGTGTGTGCCTACAACGGACGCTTATGCACCTAGCGCCTTGGTTCGCTAGGGTGGTACCTAACTGTGTCCTAATGCAACAAGCAACACAGGAATTAAAATCTGTGGCCACCTCTGAGGCGGCGGATGTGTTTCACTCTACTTACGGTTACCAGTAGCCTGGCAGGAGAGTTACGCACAAAATAAACTTTGTACCACAACAAGCGTCCAATAAACTACACAATGAGAATGCTGTGTCCTGGGACAAGCTGCCTCACGCACCACAGTTACAACATAAGAAATCAGTGACCAAACACAATGCACAAAATAAGGCAGTGTATTTTGGGTGAGGTAGTAAGAACAATCGTGCGCATGAGCTAAAAGAGTGGAGTGACGGGAGCGAAATCTACCGACACGTCCAAAATCTGCTGAGCCCAAGAATCGTGTCTGTGTAATAGACCAAGACTATCATTGAAACATGTTTTGTAATACGACCGAATAAGTTTTATGATATTTATATTCTTGGCATTGAACACTAATTTTGCAAGCATAGCTTTCATTTTTCTTGCTTTCACAACTACCTATACGGATTTTATCGCCTTTTATTAACTTATTTCTAATTCCCTACTTTTATCAGAATAGCTTTCAAATTTTAATGGTTAAACATGAGTGTGAAGAGAAGGCTTTGCACGATAGTCCATATTATAGACTCATTACAAATGTAAATAAAGAAATTAATAAATACAAAAGATGCGACGAGCTATACCGCCATGGGAATATACAACCAATATATTCACTATCTGAGATACTGTGCATATACTTATCAAATATATGCACAGTATCTCAGTTGTGTGATCTATTTTATATTAATCAGTTTATTAGTAACTCGACGAAAGCTTTTAATTTTATAATTGATGGTGCTGTTTTAAGGAAGAACACACAACTTAGATTGTGGACGAAGTTTTAAAATATGTCACAACGATTAATATGTTTTTAGTTTTATTTTTAACGAAAGTCCAGTTTTAAAGACTCTGTGTAACGTTTGACTCTCTTTTACGAGTAAGTATCGTAGAGCCATGTTATAGCTATATTATGGTTGTAGTATGAATGAGGCGGCTCGAGCAGGGAACGACCATGCTCCCACAGAATACCAGCGTGAAATAACAGCTTAATGCTGCTGTGTTTTGTTGTTATGCTTGTTTGGTGAGTATAGAGAACCGGAGATAATTTTTACTAAAAAAAAAACATCCTCAGTCCTTAGAAGTGACAGCGCATCTGCAATTAAGTTTTTTGAGGATAGATGTAGCTATCTGTGGGTCACAGCAACCACGTACCATCATGTGAATTGTGTGCGCGTTTGTCAAACTATAACTATAAAAAGTTATCCCTATATAAAATAATTAACTTCTAAGGAAAGGAAAAAATAACCCCCTGTTATCGCTTTCCTTAATTGAAAAAAAAATACAAGATAGCATATTGTTACCTAGGATCACTATATATCAAATTTCATGGAAATCTATGCAAAAGTCTTTGCTTGAGTCACGAATACAAAGACGGGCAAAAAATCAAAGAAACTGTTAGTACTACCTGTACTACTACGAGTTGTTTCACCAAATAATTTTCCACATATATATTATGTTTATAGATTGTAACAACGAAAAGCGAAATAAGCTACAATATAAAGGGTATTCGAAATGTTTCCACATAGAAATATATTATTGTATATACGTATCACATTTTAAGCCAAATATTTACACAATAAAATGACTAGCGGGTAAACTTATTGAACCATAACAATTAAACATTCGCATTGCAGCATTAGCAGATAAATATGTTCTTCACAAACAACATAACGAAACATTAAACCAAAATTAATCATAAACTTATTATAAACGATGACATATAATAATATGACACTTATTACAAAATAACAAAAATGGATTAGTTTTTATATTAATATTAATTATTGTGAACCCAGTTTTGTTATAAACAAAACAAACTCAAAAGTTTTTGACATTTTGTCATGAAATTGTTAGTTGTTCGGGGCCCTACGAACTAATGGAGCTATATTTGCCCGCAGCAGGAACGGAAACGGAAGCCAACTTGGAAATCGTTCTAAAATGTGGTCTCGTAAATCTCAGTGTGACTGCCATACTATAAACACTCACCGCTCACCGACCCATAAATAAACTCCAGTGGGTTTTGGTCATCATTACGGACGGGACAATATTTCTCGCAATTAAGCCTGACATCGTGGTGATGGACCGAGCACAGTCGAGAATATATTTGATCAATATTCCGTATGATGAGATCCTTGTGGAAGCCGGAGTATGAAACAACAAAATAGTTCATCGGATTTGGATCACGAGTTAACTGACATGTCGGTTAATCCCGGGCAATTTTCCAGCACATCGCAACGGGCTCAAATTCAAAATGAGGTACTACCACACATAATCCCAATACAATGGTGAAATAAAGCTACAATTATTGTTTAATGATTTCTTAAATTTACGCGAAATTTACACATTGAATAAAACTGTTTATACGGGTTTTATCGCGTTTAATTAACTTATTTTTATGTTGTCGACGTTTCAGGTGCTTTACAGCACCCATGGTCACGGGGGACTAAGACGTTAGACGTCCCTGTCATAGTTGGTCCGGCTACCTTCAGTAATTGAATATTAATTTTTAATCGAATCTGCGCAAAACAAGCTTACAGTATCTTAAAGTCTTGCAGTGGTATACTGGGGTTTGTATTTAATTTTATTAATTATAGGATCCCAAGCAAATGGCAGCACCCATCCATATTCTCTATTGAAATCGGGATATTTTTTTTAATTTCAATAACACCGCGAGGATTTGTGGTTTATCAAATCCGATGTAATGATGGGGACGATCTTGAACATGTTCACAGACTGCAGACTTCCCGGAGAGTCGGTGCTCCACGTCAACTATATTTTCTTTCACGGGTTTCGCGGGTTTTTATAGATCTATATATAATATAAAGATCTATAAAAACCGAAACGTTGGGAATTAAAAATAAGTTAATTAAACGCGATAAAATCCGTATATAGTTTTTAGTAGTAATTATTATTGTTAAAAAATGGCTAGCGCTCTTTATCCTTCAGATCGAAATAGCATTGCACGCTATGCTGCTTGTCGCCGGAAATAGGCAAGAATATGGTGCCTACAAGAGAAGCCATAATTTAAAAGAAGAAGAAGAAGAATATGGTGGCTATGCAGTCGGAGTTCTATCCACAAAGGAAGTTATACCGTCTAGGGTTAAGTGTTGTAAAATCTAAATATGTAAAATATAAATATAATTATAACATTTTATTTAGTTTTATATAATGTATTAAGAATATTAGTTTCAAAAGTGAACAGTGTGATTAGAGTTTACCTTGATATAATTTATGTTATACGGAATATATATTTATATATATATATATATATATATATATATATATATATATATATATATATATATATATATATATATATATATATATTATAATTTATGTATAACTTTAATATTTAAAATCTGTCTGCATTTTTATATAATTTCAGTAATTCAGTAATACTTCTTTGGAAACGGAGACGACGCCTTAAAGTTTATTTTCCCACAGTATAAGTCGTTGAAACGTGATGCTAATCCATGGTGTTTAATCGAGTACACAACATTTATTTAAATTTAATTACCAAATTTCATATAAATTTCTTTAGATGTTTGCGTAATTCAATAAAAAATACTTGAATTTATCCCAATAATTCACTACGTATTGTGTAAAAAATACCAAAACCCGTTATTATTATTATTATCTATCACCATTAGCCCATATACAAGTCCACTGCTGAACATTAATTACCCTCCAATATCTATTATAATTTTAGAGCTTAAAAAACACTGCTGCTGTCATGATCCTAGTGAAAATACTAGGTCATCTAGGTCGTTGTAGTCATGAAATTACTCTAATAACATCGGTTCTTAAAACGTCTGCAATTTAGATTACTTAAACAGTTGGAAGTGAGTAATACTGAATTATAATATTTTTTATTTATATACATACATAGATAAACACAGACAAAGCGTGTAAAAAGGCAGGCAGATATGCAAAACTGCCGGATGTAACCTTAAGACTTGAACAGTGGATATAAGGAATAAATCATCAGTTTTGTCAATGTGGCCTTCTTGATTGCTTGAACTGTCCTAAATAAAATTCAAAAACAGCGATGTCACTTCCTCAAAAAAATTTTTTTTTCGCTGGCGTAAATAATTAAAAAATTCGTGTTGCAAAAAGCAATAAACAATAGTTTTAAATTATTTAAAGAGAAAGAGGTAATTTACAAAAATATTCGTATTTAATTCGCTTAGATCATGACGCATGACCAAAAAATGTAAAGATCGAAAGATATCATTACCTTTATTTTCAGTGCTGTACAACGCTCTTCTACAGCATGTGGTGACTACTCTGGATGAATTGACTCGTGATGCCACGCGGATGATACTGCTCATCACCATTTTAAGATACAATACCTGCAATAAATAGATAAATATGTTATCAATGTCATATTCTATATATTTATCGTCATCAGAAAGCCCTGATAATACCTATGTTTTAGCACTGTTTACGAAAGTATCAATATTATGGATATTTTTGTGCAAAATTTTAAATAATAGCAGTCATTATGATGTTCCCATGAACATGTTGGGCGTTACTACGGGACGCCATTCAAAATACATTTTTTTTTTAGTTGTTAGGCCTTCTATTCCGTGCAGGAGTTCGACTATATAAGTACAAACCATTTGTATTCTACTTTAAAGTATAGTTAGTATGTACAAAGTATATCCAATGTCATTATAACACGTCTATAGATTTCTTTATTTTAAGTTGTACTTTCCCAGTGCTATTAGGTGACTTCACATCATTCCCACGAAATGCTTCCTCACAATGTTTTCTTGCACCTCTAAACAATAACCCAATTATTACAATTTATATTGGGATTACTCGTAACAATTTTATTAGTACCAGAGAACGAACTCTGGTGCCATTATGTAAAATCTAAAGCCAGCATTGCGCTAACGCTACTATGGCTATGTACCTAATCATATAATGATCATTGTAATAGTTATTAGTATTAATTTTGAAAGGCAAAATAAAAAACCAAAAAATATTGAATTTCGAAATCGATGTTTCGCTCGTATATCCCTAACTCATATATCGAACAAGGGATGACATTTAACATTAATAATGAAATGACATTGAAAACATCCCATATTATGTAACCTTACAACTGGTTTGTACCTTACGTCAACACATGGATCTTCACCTCAATAAAAAGACGAAACATTAACACCCTATTTACAATACCTATTGACATTAAGCAATTATTCTGTAAAATCATGTGATACATTCACTGACTACTATATTATTCTATATAACGAGCTATAATCTTAAATATATATATAATTAAAATATAAAAATGATTTCTAATTTCTATAGTATAAAAGTCGGAAGTGCCTTACCTAGAGGTCTAAATAATATTAATGTGGATGGAGTCCGTGATAGCGAACCGTGCGATGCTTGCCGTGCTTGAGTTTCTAGTGCCCCTGTGAGACGAACAACGCTGATAACCGATGTCCAGGGACTTAATGTCACTTGAATCTTGCTGATATCACTAAAGACTACTTGTTCACAAAACGTTATATATTATCTTTTTTTTATATTCAACTATTTGAATTATGAGCCTATTAAACATTGTATTAATAAGTAAATAATTATAAAAATAATTATTATCTGTTACTATAGATAGACTTTTAGGCATGTATACCATAAACATATCATCTACTTTAAGAGAGGAATTTTTATCTACTTTACGTACATATATAATACTTCTGCACGTGTGTTTGTCTGCTGGCTGGACCGATTATGAATTATGATTAAAAATGTCTAAATCCAGAAATCACCCGTGCAATGTCGGGGCGGTCAGCTAGTATATAATAACTTAATAATATTTAGTATATAATAAGATACGTAATTGGTTTCGTGGACACGGCTTTAACGATTTGGATGATAATGTTTTTAATTTAGATAATATTTTTATAAGCAAGTTTAAAGGTTTTGCCCTTGAGATAATTATTTTTTTTCCATTACCGTTTAACCAGAAACTACGTAATTTAATTTAGAATCGATAAAAGCTCTTTTGAATTTAAAACACGGAAACTACAAATTTACATTACAAAGACGAAATTAATGCTAATTAAATGTTTTCCCGTACGTTTCATTTATATAATTTAATTGCAAATTTTATCACAATCGATCAATTATAATTAAACAAAATGTAATTACATCATTTTTTATTTCTTGATTCACATTACACATTGATTTTTTATTTTCTGTACTGAGTTAAGCTAATTTATTAACCAGGTGCTAGAAATGTTGCGAGACAATAACAAAAAAATAGGTTCTGCACATAATAGCGATCATCTTCCGGAAACCTGCTTATTAAATTGCTAAAAAGCTAATTTAAATTGGGAAAGAGATAAGGGAGGTGAAGGATAGGGTTGCTCAACATGACAACCGCCTATCGGAAGCTGAAACCCAAATCAAGGAAGCTAAAACCCAAATCGACCAAGTGAACAATCGGGTTGACAACGTAATGGCTGACATGAAGAAACCTTTTGTATGATGATGGCAACTGATATGAATAATTACGGTGGGTTTCTTGCTGGTTCTTCCCAGGGAATTGTAATATACAAGGGTGACACTGAAAGTTCTTAGAAAGTCAAAAACTGAACAAACTAGCAAGTTATTAGTTTTATTATATCTTTTCAAAATAGTGTCCATTTACATCAATACATCGCTGGATCCGATGGAACCACTAAGAAAAGCACTGTGCCCACTCGTCCTTAGGTGTCTCTTCGACGGCATTTTGAAACGCAACCACTGCTTCAACGGCGTCCATAAAACGTTTTCCCCGAAGTTTTTCTTTTATTTTCGGAAATAAATAAAAATCACGAGGTGTGAGGTCGGGGCTATAGGGCGGGTGACCCAGTAATTCCACGTCTGACGTCGCCAAGTAGTCGATTGTTTGCTTGCTGGTGTGCGACGAGGCCTTGTCGTGGTGAAGAAGGATCCTACTGCGAGGTCGTTTCTTCCGAACTTTTTCCAAGACAAGTGGCAAACGATTGTTAGTGTACCACTCTGCAGTACCTGTTTTTCGATCCTCTAAAACAATTGTTGCGTAATGAACTGTCCTTCCGAAGAACGAGGCCACCATCTCTTTCTCTTCTCTTTTCTCACGCTTTGACCTCTCTTCACTTAGTTGGCAACTCCTCGGAAGGAAACACCCAGACAGCAGACTGTCTCTTAATTTCAGGATCATTACAATAAATCCAGCTTCCGTCATCCGTAAGTATGTCGAATACAGCATTTGAATCACCTCGGTTAAGTCTTTGAACCATTTCACGACATCAATCAACACGACGGAGTTTTTGGGCATCTTGAAATTATGATGTATCCACCGGGCTCAAACCTTCCTGATCGCTAAATGTCCATGGAGGGTTTTGTGCACTTGACTCGTACTGATGCCTAAGCTTGTCCGAATCTGCTGATAAGTCATTGAAGTAATATGTACTTACGTACTAGAACAGCTTTTCAAACAAAAAAATGTGCGCTACTCTGTGTTCGCGCGGTTGGTTTTTATCATAGAAAATACGTAGGTAGAATGATCAGTAGGTAATAGTAGATTGTATTGTTAAATAGGTAAATTATATCGTGTAAATTTTTTAGTTTTGTCATTTGTTTTGTATATTATATTTGCTTATTTAATATACTATTATTATATCACAATTACATTATTGATATTTTCATCTGAATATTTTAAAAGGTGACTATGCCAAATATAATAAAATCATACTAAATGTATGTTTAACCCTTTCACCGCCATCGCCGTAATATTACGAATCTTAGGGCTTTACTATTTTACTTTCCCAACCATTAGAGGGTTGCGCTCTCCTCCTTGCGTAAATACGTTCGAGATCACAGGTGAAGGTTGCTCTACTTCATTAAATATATAACTTATAATTTTAAAAATATTTCTTTTCCTTTTGTCATGATAGTATAATTTTTGACCTTTTTATATTTCGTAAATGTCGTTTTTAGTAATGTTTATACAGGTTGTAGGTTTAAAACGGGTATATACAACCGAAGGAAAATAAAAACTGCCACTTCAGACAAATTTCGCCCCTACCTTGTACATTTTGTATGAAGAATCAGTCAATTTTTTTTCTATTTTCGAATTATTTTGTATTAAATGTGGTTCAGCTCTATGATTCCAGCTCCTCCCTTCATGTCGGATATATATAATTTTTTATACAATCTCTACATACACATAACGCTTGTACATTTAAAAAAAGAGAAATCGCATAGGGAAGTAATTTAGAAGGCTGTTGATAAAAAAATCAAACAAAAAATAACTTAATACGCATATACTTATTTATTTAATTTGTTACATCATTAAAAGTAAAGAAACTTTTCAAGTAGTGTAATATTGTGTAGGGGTTCACTTTTTTGGGATTTTTTGTTTTTTATTTTCTATTGCTTCATTATATACGGTGGGTCTTTTATCGGCATACAACGTTCAAGGTGCGAATAAATTAATTTTGTTAGCACACAACTGTGATAAAACTTTGTTAAATGGGGCAGCATTGTTGTTTCCCAAAACTTTTTACTAATGACTTCAAATTTTGCGTTACATTTCTTTTTACTGAGGCAAGGATATTTCTTCTTTTTTCCATCCATTTTTTTCCGTTTATTTTTTGTTGGTAATAAATTGAAATTCACCAAATATGAAAGTCCAAGTCAATTAATATAATACACTAATACTAATATAAACACTAAAAACTAGAACTAATATGACATTTAAATAAAAATAATATATATTTAAGTAGAGAAATTTTCACGATATGCTCCGCTCAGTCTATAAGAGCTGGGCGAGGGAAAGAGATCAACCGTGCGAGCGAGAGGTAAAGTAATGTTTAGCAACACTGCACACGTCTGACCGCCGAGAAATCCCAGCGGAACTGAGAGAATTTTCAGGTAAAAAGTACGAAAATATATATATTTTTAATTTTATTTATTTTTAATTTACTTGAAAATAGTTCCATTTTATGTGGTTTTAAGTACGACTTTGCTACATTTATACTTCTAATAGAAAAAAAATAGATATTTGCAGTAAAAAAATCATGAAATTACAATTTTTTAAGCCCTTCAGATAAGAAAATTGAAGTATTTCAAAAGTGACCAGATCAGATTATTGTAGACAATATGTAAATAAATGTGATCTGAATACTTTTCTTGATATTGTTATAGTTTGTACACAGTAGAGGCACGCATTTAACCTAAACCTTGGCATTGTTTAACGCCTAATAGAGCTATTAATTTAAACACCAAAATAAAATTAAAAAACAGTTTTGAAAATTTCAAATCCTTTACTTTAAACAAATGTAAAATA